AGGTCATCTCACTATGTGGGCACATGCTAAAAATGGATGGTGGCGATATTACAGTCTCACTCCTGCAGGGAAGGGCATGGGAAACATTGGGGAGGGAAAACCTCCCCAAGGGGAGGAGCTTTGGGAAGTGCACCTGGTCACCCACTTTGTATAGATGGAGAATAGCCCAAAGTTAGAACATTTGTGGACCTATGGTCAGGGATGAGTGACCTGGCTGTGGATGGGGGTCCTGAAAGAAAAAGATTATAAAACCAGAGACAAGAAGGTCTGGGATAGAGGACTACAGGAGTGGACACAAAGTGGGAAGTTGTTTGTATTGCATGTTAAGGCCTGTGCCGAAGCCGGTCCATCCTTGCTGCTTGACACAGTCACTGCAGGAAAGAAACATCTGCACAGCATATGTTTCAAGGGACCTGGCGTATATAACATACTGTTCTTAATATGTTTGCTCCCCTTAGCACTATGTGTTTTAACCAAGGTCACCTCTCTGAGAAAGGTTGTTTCCCCAGGTAGGGATTTTTCCCTGAAGTTAGGGAGGGGATAAAACCCCTTAACTAAGTGCCAGGCGGGTAGTTAATCACTTTAACTACAAACAATTACGCTTAAGCTACATAATCTTTACTCCCTGGAATGGAGATAAGAAATGCCCCAACCTTTGCAATAGAAATTGACAGGATTAAAATCAACTGATATAAATACAGATGTAACAAGACAATAAAAACCAGAACTTGGCCAGAACTTGGCTGGAGCATTTGTGACCTATGGTCAGGGATGAGTGGCCTGGCTGTAGATGGGGGTCCTGAAAAAAAAAGAGTATAAAACCAGAGACAAGAAGGTCTGGGATAGAGGACTACAGGAGTGGACACAAAGTGGGAAGTTGTTTGTATTGCATGTTAAGGCCTGTAGCAAGTATCTCTTACAAAAGATGTGGCAGCTTTGACAAAATAATTTGTCCAGTTAATATAGCTAGTCTTTGTCAGAGCCCCCTCTCCCCCAATTGCTGCATGATGGGACTTAAACAAAGAGGACCTGGTGGCAGAGATGGAGGTGATGCAAAAACCTAACAGCACGGACTGTCATTGACGCAAATGAATATAGCTATGGCCACCTCTGAATGGCCAACCTGCTAGTAATAAAGACCCATGCTAAACTTTTATATTCCTTAAGGAGGCCAATAGGCTACTTGGTGACCATTTGACCATGTTGGGCCCTTTTTTTCTGGTAGGGCCAGCAGTTTACTCTCATAGGAATAGACGCTGATTCCAGATATGGGGTTGCCTTTCTTGCCTGCGTGGCCTCACTAGCACCACTCTCTGGGGGCTTGAAGATCACCTGGTCCACAAGCAAGGAATCCCATATAACATGGCATCTGACCAGAGGACTTTCTCTATGGCACAGAATGTAGGAGAGTGGGCTCAGGAACTTGGGATCTACTGTTCCTATCACACACCTCACCACCCAGAAGCTATTGGATAGGTAAGTATTGGAATGGCCAGTTAAAGTTGCAGCTGAAGCTCCAGCATGGAGGTAATACAGTGCAATGATGACATCCCTCCAGGTGATCCTAATATATGCCTTTAATCAGACAATTTAATATGGTGCTGTGTCCCCAACAGAAGAAGCACATGGGTCTGGAAACAAGGGGCGGAAGCATGAATGGCCCCAGCTAGCATCATTCCAGTGATCCGGTGGGCTTCCCTATCACCACATTTCTGGGCTTTGAGGAGTTAGAGGTTTTGATCCCCAAAAAGGGTACATTCTTGCCTGGGGTAAGAGCAAAGATTCAATTGGGTTACACGTTATGGCTGCAACCAGGCACTTTGGCCTCCTAATGTTCAGAGACTAACAGGTAAGACAAGGAATTGCCACCTTATCAGATATAATTGACCTGGAGGAGGTAGGGCCACTGTTAGTGGCGACAGTGTGAGCTCCAATGACCTATTTGGTCAGTTGATACTCTGTTGCCCAACTGTGACTATGAATAGACAAGAGCAGCAACCCTAGTCTGAGAAGGTGCTTAGACCACTTAGAAATGAGGATTTGGGGGGGCTAATTTTGGGGGTCAGGTAAGCTACTGAGAGCTGCTGAGGTGATAGCTGAGGGTGAGGGGAATTAGAATAGATAGTGGTGGAGGTATATCATGAGGCCCTGTCATGGCCTTGCAACCAATTTCTCTGACAGGGGCTATAGTAAATTCCATTAGCTTTCCTCTGCTAAGTTTCCCTTCAGGAAGAGCTGCCCATCAGAGCCAGAGAGATATTCCCTGAATACAGATGGAGGCCAGAGAGATATTCCCTGAATACAGATGGAGAAATAGATACTGGTTGTCACTCAGATCCCCCTTAAGCTGGGAATTGTTGCCCAAATCAAGGAGTGTGTTTGAGGTGACAGCCTCCAGCTTAAGCTCCTCCAGGATCTGCTTCAGTGTCTGGACTAGAGTCACGTACTTCTCCAGTGACTCCTCCCCCATGACCAAGCAAGGCCGTGGCCCAAGGTTGGGCTCCTGCTCCCAGCCAGGCTGGAGGACTTAGGAGGTTTGCAAGCCAGTCTGACAGCTCCCACGAACCAATCCAGCGTCTTCCCTTAACTCTTCCTGGTGTTACACTCCTAACTCCGTATCTGTCTGCTTCCTGGAGAACCCAACCTGTGACAGCACACATTTCAAAATTTCCCCAAACGGCTGCCTTTCCCCTTCCCACAATCAAATCATTTTTCATGGCTTCAAATTGAGGGGGATTTTATATCTTTATTCCCAACCTCTCTAGACAGACTGTACTCTCCCTTCTCAAGTGTCTTATATACTAATTACGGCATTTAACCTGATAATAAACAAAATTCAACCAAGTAAAATTGAATATCTAATTGGCTCTATTAAGCAATTCATGAATCTGGCAGGATCCTATCTAGCAACTAGAAGGGCCTCCTCCAAGGGGTTATTTACAAAATGGAAGGTTTTTTATAGGCAGAAGGGTGTGGCAGGTGAGTTATTAGCAGATGAAATGATTACTTTCAGGCCAAGACATTACCATTTTGCGAGGGAGGAAAGGGCAAAGGTTTTATCAAGGAGACTGCCTCTTCTTCCTGGGCGTTGCGGGAAGGCCCACATAACAGACTTTTCCAAATTCTAGACTGGTCAATTAAGATTCTATTCCTGGGAGATGGTGAAACTGCAGTTAAAACACAGGCGTGTTTTTTTCATGTCTTCCCAAACACAAGCTCTGTTATACCCAGATTTCAGGATCCCCAAGAAACCACACCAGGGAGCCAGCCGTGTCCGATGCAAAAGCATAAGAGTCTTTATTCAAGCCCGGGCTTGGCTCCCCCAGCCTCCTTACCGACGCAGCGGCGAGACGAGAGAGAGCCCGAGCTTTGTGGGTAGAGGGGTTTTATAGGGGGGTTGGAGTAAGGGGAGGAGAGAGGACTGTGGGCCCTGCCAATTGGCAAGGCGCAAGTCGGTGTCTTGTTACACAGGATGTGGTCGTATCTATGGCGCGCACTTCCCTTGATTATCATTGGTTAGTTTAAAGAAATCCTAGGTGTTGCTAGCAGAGGTTTGGGCTTCCGGGAAGAAGCTCCTTGCTGAACACATGGCTGCTGCCCAAAATGGAGGATTCGGGGCAAGATGAAGGGCGTAGCCCTTGCCCTTTCAGCTCCTTCAGAGCAGGGACTATTTCTTAAACTTCCCGAGTAACTAATGTAAGGGCTACCTACATACAATATACTATACTATGTTGAATTGAATTGGTTAAAAGCCCTTTCCTGGGAACCTGTCAGACCACAGTTAAGGCCAAGTGGATCAAAGGCAACTATAGAATAGCCAGAGGGAACAAAAAGTCAAATGATCCTGGGTGGGCCCCATGTTTGGCTGGTGTTCATACCAAAGTCCTCTATTCCTGAGAGACATAGTTCATGTACTACAAATTCCTAAACTGAAGAGAATTCACAGTGATCATTTTGTAGAATTTCCAATTTGACAACTGAATTCTAAAAAGAGGTTTATTTCTGATCTGATCCGAGACCCATTTATTTCACTTGGAGTGTTGGGGGAAGGGGGGCACACACACTTTTCTCCTCTCCCAACTTGGGTCCAGTGCTTGGGGGCCTGCAGATGAACTGACAATAGGTGAACAGGAGAAAAGACAAGATTTATTTACACATGGGTAGGGGTGGGAGCGCCCAGTGATTGAAAAGTCCTGGAGTAGCCAGAAGATTATGTCTCTCAATTTAACAAAAGGGGGGAGGGGAGTTTAGGGCTTCAGTGGGAGAGCATAGCAGGTTCTACTGGGCTTTTTGATGCTAATAGAACGGGCAGTCTGTCTCCGCCAGGCAACTAAATCAGCAGTCAACTCCTTTCGAAGAGTTAATGGTAGCTGTATTTTCAGGAGCCTCTGCTTTTGTCAGGTCGAGAGAATTCCAGATCGAGAGAATTCCAGATACAATTTCGTATCATCTTTTGTAGGTCAAATGTTTCCAATAATCTTTACACCAACTCTGGAGGTCCAAGTGCGTCCCCACAGGGGAAAAGGTCTTGTGTTCCAATGCCCAAAGAGAGAAACCTTTCTGAGATCCGGGAATGCGTCTAAACAGGCCCCTGTGACCGCTTGCTGTGGGGAATGAGCCGATGCCCGGGGCGCCGCGGTCAGCGATTCCAGGCAGGCCAAGGACGGTCAGAAAGAGATCCTTTCAAAAGCTCAGAGATGGCAAAAGAGAGGCAGAGGCATCGTCGCCGTTTTTCTAGGAGCGCGTGGTGGTGGGGGAGAAAGTGCACATCGGTCCCGGCCAGGCGGTCCGCGAGCTGGGGCCTGTGGGTCGTATTTGGGGAACCTCGGGTAGCATCCGGGCTCCAGCTTGATGGCTCAAGTCTCTTCCCCAAACACAGGAGATAATAACATTCCCCTCGGAGTGGCCGAGAAGGGTGACTACCACCGGAGGCTGGACTCCCAGCCCCGAGTTGGCGCTTGCGAGGTGTGTTCTTTTCCTGGAAGGGTGGGGTGGAGACAGGAAGCCTCCAGGGGGCTCCCTACCCGCCGCACGCGCCGCCCCGGCGGGCTTATAAACAGCGCTCTGGCGCCTGCAGATCACTGTGGTTCTACTTCTTTCGGAAGAAGTCTCGCCCTGCGCGGACCGGGAACCGAGCCCTCGCCAACCTAGAACCCAGCGGGAGCCGCAGACCCCCCTGCGCAGTTGGTCGCCTTCCCACTCGGTTGCCGTCGCGGTTGACTTTAAATCTGAACACAGCGGTCGGGGTCAGTGGGACCTGCCCTCTGCACCCGGAGCCGAGTGGGAAACCGAAACCGCTGGGCTCCGCTAACGGCGGCGGGAGAGCGCGCGCTCGCGAACCCCGCGCCCCGCCCGAGCGCCGCCCGCGCCCGCCCCCGCCCCCGGGCTCCGTAAGTTTCGATTCCTCCCCGAGCCGAGTCGCGCGCCGCGGCCAGTCCAGCGCAGAGCAGCGCCATGGCGGACCCGGAGGTGTGCAGCTTCATCACAAAATCCTGTGCGCCCATGGGGGCCGCATGGCCCTGGACGCGCTGCTCGACGAGATCGCGCTCTCCGAAGCGCAGCTCCTCGAGGTGCTGGAGGCGGCGGGGCCCAGCCGCTTCGTGGTGCTGGAGACCGGCGGCAGGGCCGGGGTCACCCGGTTCGTGGTGGCCACCACCGCAGCTCGGGTCTGCCGTCGCAAGTTCTGCCCGACGGACTGCGGAAACCTGCACCTCTGCAAGCTCAACCTGCTGGGCCGCTGCCACTATACGCACTCGGATCGGTGAGTGCGCCGCTAGGGAATGGGCGGCTCCCGGGTCCCGGGTCCCGGGCTGGGAGGACGGTCGGGGCTGCTGTCCACCAGGGTTGCCCCCCGGGGGCACCTCGCACCCCACAGCCTTTGCCTCCAGCCCCTCACTTCCCTGCGAAGAGCTCTTCCTCCTGCGCCTGCAGACTTTTCCTCGATGTGGCTAGCGCGATATTGCCTGGGGAAGACTACCCTTAAACTCCCTGCTCCCTTAGAATACGGCGCTTTGGGACCCACCACGGCCTAGAGAATGTGAAGGCAGGTTTGGGAAGGAAGGAGAGCCTCCCCTCCCCGGAGCTTGAGTCTTTACCTCTCCGCTACCTCTGTCCCCAGGCGCGCTCCCCGCACCCCCACCGCGCCGCGCACCTGGGCCGTCTCCATTCCCCTCTTTGTCCCGTGTCCCGATACCTGATGCGCGTCCGCACCATCGACTAGAGTGGTCCCATTCGCGGTTACCGATGATGTGTTGTCTCCCCGCGCTCCTTCCTGGGGGCCTCTCGGGGCCGAGCCACGGACCGCCCGCTCTTGGGGCCACTTTGAACGAGCGTGGCTTACCTCCCAGCAGCTCTTTCTCTGTCCCCGCTTGTTCTTTATTGCCTCAAGGTGTGCCCCAAGGTTTGGGTTACGCTTTTTGGCCTGTCTCCCGTCTCTCCCTAAGACAGCTCACTCGTCTGGGTTCAGCTGTCACATCCACCAGGATGGCCCCCACGTGCCCCTCGGCCTCGCGGGCCGCCCAGGCCTTCCGGCCCAATCTAGGCTCTCCGTCTCCCTGGGTCTGAGCAGCGTCTGTACCGGAATAGGAGTCAATCTCATCTTCCTTTCCCCAGGGCAGGGTATCTGACACTCCCCCAGCCCCCTTCTCATCCTTCCCAACACCTTCCTCACCAAGTCCCTTTATTGAGGTCTCCCATCCCCTGCCTGCCTGGTCCTCCGGTCCATCTCCCTTCTGCATGAATGCCTTGTGGAATTCGTAAATGACTGCCTCTGACCATAGTCTTTCTCCCCAACTTTTCTGTCCCTAGGTAGTGCTGCCCAATTATTTTTCTTATATAGGACTTTTCACACTGTGCCCTCCTTAAAAACTTTAAGTGATAGCGTAGTGTCCAAAATGGTGGTCATCAAACTGTTGAGAAAAACTTTCGATTACTCACCTCCAATTTTATATGTGTAATAAAATATATATAAAAGACATGTTTTAAATGGATGAGGTAGTTGATATAATATTTAAAAATATTTTTGTGTGTGTTTAGGGTAAAACTAAAAAAAATTTAAAAAGTGCTTGAATGTGCTTTGTTGTTTAAAAATATATATATGAATATGTTGTGAGGCACCAATGTGCAAGTATTTTTGACTTTTAGGAAGCTGTGTGTACAGAGGGAGAGAACTAAGTCACAGCGAGGATGAAGTCAGGAAGGAAGAAAGGACGGAAAGAGGAAGATACAAAGGGAAGGAAAGGAACATTCTAGTAATATACTGAATAACAATAGAGTAGAAAGGCTTTGTTATCTCTTTCTGTTGTGAAATTTTTTTTCACCAGCTTGTGTTGGCTTCAAGACCTAATTAAGCTTTAAATATATATGCTTCTTTTGATTTTTTTACTATAGATATTTAAAAACTATATTAAAGTAATGAAAAGAGAATGATGAACCCCATGTACACATCATTTTGCTTCAACAGTTTTAAAATTATAGACAATTTCATTTATTCCTTCCTCCCTATATCCATCCCCAACTCCCATGTGTTATTTTAAACCAAAAAGAGTTCATTTGCTTCATAAATACTATCTAAAGCAGTGATTTTCAACCTTCTTTATCTCGTGACACACAAACTAATTACTGATATTCTTCGGCACACAAAAATTTTGTGCTGATCTGACCCCAAAAAAGGTATAATTTTAATTCATTCACATCAGACAGCTATTGTGGATATGTTACATAAATAATATATTTAGAAATTTTGTTTCAATTTCTTATACACCAACTTTAGAAACATTAGTTTAGAAACTTTAGTTTTATGACTTTGAGAAACTTTAGTTTTTTGAACTTTATTTTTTGCCTGTTTTAAGACATCAAAACCATCTTAAGGTCACAAATTGGGTTGTCAACCTTTACTTTTCTATATTTTAAAATTATATATATATATATATATATATATATATAATATAGGGATAATTTGGTCAGTGAAAGTTGGGATGGATCTTTTGGGGAATTCATTAAAGTTACTTTTTTTAATGAAGTGATCCATTCTGATTTCTTACATTTATTTGTCTTGTAATATTTTTTATTAACTTTTATTTCTTTTACATCACTTTTGAATTTGAGAATTACAAATTTTTAATCCATCAATGTACATTGCGTCTTCATAATAAGGACCCTTGGGAGAATTTTTTTTTTTCTTTTTGCCTTGGAGCCTAAAAATATGTTTTTCTCCCAAGTATGTTTTAAAAATGTTCTCCCCATCTTAGCAACTTATAAAACCTTATCTTCTAAAACTTGAAGTATGGGAGTCTGAGGACTTGATTCTTTGATCACTGGTTAATTACCATTCAGTTTGGTAAACTGTTCTGTTGAAGACTGTTTGCATTTTGCTAGATTTATAAAACTGCTTCTGTGGGGCTGTTATACGTAAGTGGGATCTCTCCTATTCTGTAGTTCATCTTTTCTCTTACATCGCTTTTAGCCATACATTTTAGTCAGCAACATGGCTTGCTTTATTGTTGGGTAATTATTTGTTTCGGTGCATCAGCTTGGATATTGCTGTTTGCTTTGCTGAAATATTATGCCCACTGGTGGAGTTCTAATCCTAGTTCTGACACACAAACCATAACTAGAATTCATTGGGCAAATAACCACGAACCACGCACTCTAATGAGCACTTTAGAATAGGTATCCAAGTTAGTCTTTACCATGATTTTTGAGGTAGGTATTGTAAGCCCCACTTAATGTAAGGAAACTCAGGCCTAGAGCTGTTTAGAAATTTACTGAAGTTCACATAGATAACTGGCAGAGTTGGTGTTGAGCCTATATCTGCATAACTTCTTGACTAGCTGCTTGTGTGGTCAAATAGCTGTGTGAACTGTGATCTTTCATTAATTCCAGTTATTTTTTTGCAAGCATGATTTCTGTTTAAAGCAGGTGTCTGTATTTTCGACCAGCTTTGTGGTTTCTGCTCATGTGGCTGTTTCCTCTGTGCTCTTTCCTGTTTGTATGCCTTTCTTTCCTCTGTGGTGAACTTTGGTTGAGCATAGGTAGGTGGAGAGAGGGTTAGTTGACTGCTTCATAAACTGAAAACAAAACAAAACAAAAAATCCGCAACCACCCAAAAGGACAAAAAGTGCAAAGAATAGTATAACAAGCACCAGAGTACAGTGGGGCCTTGACTTACGAGTGTCCTGACTAATGAGTTTTTCGAGATACTAGTCGTCTCTTGGCTGATTTTTTTGCTTTGAGTTGCGAGCTAAAATTTGGTTACGAACCAGCTTCAGATACCCCACTGCTAGTTGGCGCAGTGAACGTCACAGTGAACGCCACACTGATTAATGGCATTTCAATTCATTGTAATGGTGAAAATTGATTTGACATACGAGTAATTTGAGTTACGAGCTCTGTCATGGAACGAATTAAACTCGGAAGTCAAGGCCCGACTGTATATATATTCTGAGTATATTAATATAATAAAAGTTTTATAAAAGAATAAGCTTACAACTCATCTTCCAGAATAAATAAATGTTTGCATCTTTCATTTTTGCTTATCTTTTTAAAAATATATTTTTATTGATTTCAGAGAGTAAGGGAGAGAGAGAGAGAGAGAGAGAGAGAGAGAGAAACATCAATGATGAGAGAGAATCATTGATCAGCTGCCTCCTACACAGCCCCCACTGGGGGATCGAGCCTGCAACCTGGGCATATGCCCTGATCTGCAATCGAACCCTGACCTCCTGGTTCATGGGTCAATGCTCAACCACTGAACCACACCAGCAGGATAGTTCATTAATTATAACAGCTGTGTAGTATTTCATCAAATGATTTATACCACAATTCAGTACCTGTTCTTCCAATAATGAGCACTGGGATATTTCCAATTTTTGGCTACAACAAACCATGCTGCCAAAAATATACACTTAAGATCAATTCTCTCAGCAAATTTTAGTATACATTATTATTAACTATGGTCACCATGGTGTACTGTGGGGAGCCGGAACTCAGTCCCTGGTCGGGCACCATATGTGGGGAGCTGGCACGGCCATGGCATACTCAGCCCCAGGGCGCCTTATGTGCCACGCCAGCTCAGCCTAGTTCAGTGACCCTGAGTTTGGGGGCGGGGGGGCGGGGTGAAAGGATTGAGAAAAGACAGACAAGAGAATGAAAGCTGGGTCTCAGTGGGACACTGCTCCCTGATGAGGAGACAGCGCCAGCGCCAGTGCCCACAAGCCGTGTCTTTATTTTATAGCAGATGCCACGAGGCAAAGTAGGGGCGTGATCAAGTTGTTTACAGCATTCTCGTGAGTTCCAACCTCACTCAACTACATGCACCCGAACTCTATCACAAGGCACGTGGGGCTACGTGTTCGGACCATAGGTTCAAGCTTACAACCACAGCCGTTGGCTATAATTGTGCTGGGAGGGCCCTGCCCTCCAGCTGGGACTTGCACGTGGCAATGAGAGGGCCCTGTCCTTTCATTAGTCTGAGGCTTGAACCTGGCCAAAACACTGTACCCGCGCCCCATAGTGTACCTTAGATCTTTAGAACTTATAACTGATAGTTTGTACCCTTTGACCAACATCCCTCCCCACACCCCTGACAATTCTACTCTCTTCTTAAATGATTTTGGCTTTTTTTTAGATTTCATGTTTAAGTGAGATGATGCAGTATTTGTCTTTCTGTAACTGGCTTATTTCACTTAGCATAATGTCTTTTAGGTTCATACGTGTTGTCACAAATGGCAGGATTTACTTCTTTTATGGCTGTATAATGTT